GCGTCGGCCGGCGGCGCGAACGAGCGGCTCTGGCACAACGGGCGATGGGCTGGGGGAGCGGCGACGGCGACCCGACGGCAGCGGCGCCAGTGGTGGGCGAGCGGCGCGTCGGCGGCTGCGGCGGCGCGGGGCGGGCCAGCAGGGCCGGGCGCGGGCGCGGGCGCCGGCCCGCAGCGACAACGCAACGGCCCTCCATGGCACAACGGGCAGCGCCAATGGCCAACGGCCCCGCCGCCCGCGCGGCTCACTCTGCTCCCTACTAGCACGCTTGGTCGTCGACGCGCGGCATGGGCATTTTTGTTGTTTTCGTTCAATTGGGCTTTGCTCCGTCTTGATTCGATTTTCTGCTCCCGCGTCGATCGCCGACTGGGCGGTCCGGCTTTTACCTCCGCCCGGTTGGCTTTTACGACGTGGGAACGACTTGATATCAACCGTCAAGTTGCAGGCCTGGGTCACCTGCGTGCCCGCTGGCTTTGTTGGCAGTTCGGGGTGTTTGCCTCCGAGAGGCAAGCTGTTTTCTGTTGTGACTTTCTGCATCGCAGTTGAGGTTGTTACAGTGCGATTTTAGTGATAGACTCGATATTCTCGTGTAGGCGTGATAACCGATCATCGGATGAATTTCAGTTGTTCCAAGGGAGTCCAGTCGAAAACCGGCCTGACGGCTTTTTATACTTGATCTCCTGATTTGTCTGTCCGCGGGATGCAGATCGGGTCGTCTCGTCTCTCTTCTTTTATTCCCACGGCAATTGCCCTTAGCGATGGTCCACCGGCAATATTGTATCGCCCGGCCGTGGGGCATGGTGCTGTCTCGTGTGTCGTCCGTTCATCGTGTTCCTCAGTGCGCACTTTCAATGTTTATCTAGCTAGGTGGATACGGGACGATTAGAGACACTCCTGTGCAGATGCACCGCTGTGTTGGGCTCCTTGGATCCTCGTGTTGCCGCAGCGAACGACTCGCCGCTGCCCACGCTATACCTGCGATTTCAAGAGTCGTACTTCCGAATACCGTGACCGCCGCTGGCACAGAGACACCACTATTTCATTGTCGACATCTTCTGTGGTCATTCAGTCTGACTTGTTTCGGAAAGGACGTAGGGGCCATCGGGCCAGATGTTCGGCTCGTACTACTTGCACCTTTGGGTCGTTCCAGTATATCTGATTGATATACGTGCGAGTGCCGAGTCGCCGCTCTACTTCGGTGATACCCGCCGTTTCTGGCTCTTCTGAGATATTCATGTAGGTTTAGTAATTTTATTTGGGATGAGCGCTCGATTTTGATGTGCACATTTGGGCATTAAGGTGTTATCCAGATATTTTTCTATTTAAGCAGTTTTAGTTCCGATAGACTTCTTAAATTTAGAAGAAATAACAGGGATCTGTTTTTGTAGTCCATTTAATTGAAAGCGAATTATACATATGGTTTTACTCGTTTCATTATGTATTGACACCCCCACAGTTGCCATTATATATTTCTTCATGTCTTTAGGGTGTGGTAATTGTTTATGATTGTCGGGTCAGGCTAAATTGATTTGAATTTTAGAACGAGCTCCCTACGTCACATGAGGACTGCGAGACATCGATATTTGTGAGAATTTACGAAAAACAAGACGAAGAACAAAATCAATATTAATCGAATTTTTTGTCCCTTACATTTTTCCCGCGTTGTTGTTTTTCTAGGTAATCTTCATTTTGTTACGGGGTTGTTATAATTATAATGTAATCTTTAAGATTATGCTTCAGGCTAGTAGATAGATTATATAATGTATCTCGTTAGTGGTATTTGTCAATTTAATTAACTTTCGTGTGGCAGTTATTTATGTTCAATTTTTTGATTGCTATTGCTGCATCTTCAATTCTCCCAGTCATCCTCATTCCTGGCAGTTTCTGGCAGATGTTGGAAAGGCTCAAACGTTTTCGTCGCACGTCGCAAAAACTTGGTATGTTTCCCAGGAAGAGAATCCCTCGAGGGTTCCAATTTGTATTCTCGTCTTGATCTTTTCTTATTTTGCGCAATAATTTTGCGTTACAAATTGTAGAATTGTGATTTTGCTTTAGTATTTTTTAAACTATAACGGTCCAAATTATTCTGTTCTACGAAATATTTTCATCTTTATAGAAGATTTGTACAGAGCTTGCTTAAAATCGGATATTGAGTAGGTGGTGTTATGCTTGTTGCTATTTAGCATTTCGAATTAGGGAAGGAAAAATTCAACTGGTATTTAAAATAAAATGCCGGTGAGTATCTAAGGTAGCCAATTGAATTGTGGTTATGTTGTAATTTAAAAGCAGATTCTTTTGATTAGGATTAAAATTGGATTTTTAAACAATACCGGTATTTAATCTACTTTTCTTGGGTCAGAACTTTCACGTGTGGTTGATCTAATTTCGCAATGTTTCGTGCGTTTCTCTTGCTTCTTTGATAGCTTGCTCCTTCGGCTCGTCAGAGACCCCGATCCACCCGCTTACTTTTACACCCTCAGTTTCACTTCCTTGCCTACCGATTGGAAAGACTTGCTTCGAGCTGGGCACACCATTCAGATAAAATATTTACACTTAAAAACGCTCGGGACTGATTCTGTTTCGCCGCCTCATCCCCACCTGCCCCTCACCATCACCACCTCAGCCACTCTGTCCTACTTCCCGAGACCCTAAACAGTTGCGAGTCGGTAGACTTTCCCACAAGCGCTGGGGTCTGCCAGTTCCGGAATTGAGGCAGATAGCAGACTATGTAGCCCCGCTTGGCTTAGAGAAGTAACGAATAGATCCCGCGCTGTGAGCTTCAGACGCTAAAAGGAGCCTCGTGCGCAAAATATTGCACCTCTATTATCAGATACTCTCGAATATTTTTTCGCGGAGGTTTTCCAGCTCTCCGTTCCGTTCTCATTTCGTAACAAATGGATTCATTCTTTCATTTCGTGTTTTTTGTCCAACCTGCCGTGATTTTCTTGCCTTTAATCTCCGTGTTCGGTGCGGGCTGTGAAATCTTCGTCTAGGTCTGTGCCTCATTTGAGTTTCTCTCTCCTCTCTTTGGGGCGGCGGCGACGATCTGCCCGGCGTCGCCGACCTGGGCGTCGCCTCTACCTCCGACGGCTTCGACGTGGACGACGAAACCGTCAAGTGCGGCCTGGGGCCCTGCGTGCCCGGCTGGCTGCAGGTGTTCGCCTCCAAGCAGGCCTTCCTAGTGACTTTCTGCATCGCGTGGGTGTTACAGGGTATGTACTACACGTATTTCGTGAGCGTGATAACGACGATCGAAAAGTTGTTCCAAATCCAGTCGAAAACCACGGGCATCATCATGAGCGCGACGGAGATCGGCCAGATCGGTTCGTCGCTGCTCCTCACGTACTACGGCGGCCAGGGCCACCGGCCCAAGTGGATCGCCTGGGGCATGGTGCTGTTCTCTGTGTCGTCCTTCACGTGCGCCGTGCCGCACTTCATGTTCGGTCGGCAGCTCATCGAAGCGAACGACCTCCTGTACAGAGGCAACGCCTCCGAGCTCATGGACCTCGTGTGCCGCAGCGACGACTCGCCGCTGCCCAACGCCACCTGCGAAGCCTACTCCGACGACCGCCGCCTGCACAGCAAGCACACCACCATCGTGCTCGCCATCTTCTTCATCAGCCTGCTGGGCGTGGGCATGGGCCAGACGGCCGTCTACACCTTGGGGATCCCGTACATCGATGACAACGTGGCTAGTCGCGAGTCGCCGCTCTACTTCGGTGAGTACCCTCCCTGCATTTGATATTCATGAGGTGTAATTTGGAGAGGGCAGATTTGATTCTACATTTGGGATTAAGGGTATCCAGATGATTTTTTTAAAGCAGTTTTGTTCCGAAACATCTAAAAACATAACAGATCGAGTTTATATACAACTTTAAGAAGCGAATTATACAATTTTTACTCTTTAAATATGACAGCACAGTTAGCAATTATATATTTCTTCATCTTCTCGGGGGTAATTGACTGACGTCGGTCAGGCTAAATGATTTTATTCTCAAAGAACGAGCTCCCTACGTCACATGAGTGAACTGGAGCGTATTTGAAAAAAAAAACAACAAAAAAAAAACGATTTTCCGCGTTAAAAATATGTATCTTAAAAGTGTACTTAAGCTGAGAAATATATAATATCTTGGGATTTAATTTAAAACTTCTTGCAGATTATTAATGTATACTGCCACCAATTTCTCCCGCTCATCCTGCAGTTTCTGCAGGATTTTGAAAAAGAACGGCTCAAACGTTTTCGTCGTACGTCGCAAAGAACGGTAGAGAAAATAATGAGGTTCCCATTTTCGGCGATCTCTATATTTTGGAAAATTGCAGAAGTAGAAAGTTGAAGCTAGTATTTTTTTTAAAATGAAATCTGTTCTAAAAATTCAGTTTATAGAAGGATTGTACAGCCTTAAAAAGTGAGTTGTTTAGCTTTATTTAGCATTTTCGAATTTACGGGGAAAAAATCAACTGTATTTTAAAATAAAATGCCTGTGAGGTATCTAAGGTAGCCATTGAATTGTGAAACTTATGTAATAAAAGCAGAATTCTTTTTACTTAAGAGATTAATAATTGGTATTTTAAAATACCGGTTTATTTATTATCTACTTTTCTGGGTCAGAAACTTCAGTGGGGGGTTGAATCTAATTTCGCATTTCGTGCGTTTCTCTTGTTTCTTTGAATGAGCTGCTCCTTCGACTCGAGAGACCCGATCCACCCGCTTACTTTTACACCCTCCGCTTACTTCCTTCGCGAGGGAAACCTCAGAGGCAACATTAAAAATATTTATCACTTAAAAACCTCGGGACTGTTCTGTTCGCCCCCCTCATCCCCACCTCGCCACCCCACCCGCATCTCCTTCCCAGCAAATGCAGTCGTAGATTTCCCAAAGCGCTGGTGTCTGCCATCCACTTGCAGAAAGTAGGTTAGCCCGCTTGGCTTGAGAAGTAACAGAGTCCCCGTGGAGCGCGCGCTTAAGGGCCTCGTGCGCAAAAACTGCAGCCGGAATAAGAATCGATGCGGTTGCGCAGCTCGGTCTCCGTCTCATCTGCATGGAATGCTTGTTTTGTGCTGCCCACTGCGTTCTGCTTTATTTCGGGGGCGGGGGCTTGAGATAAAACCATGTATTTTGACTGCGCTCGTGAATGTTTAACGCAAGGTCCATTAGAAAGGACTTGGAAAAGGTAGATGGTCCTGTTTGTTTATTTCGCTGAATAATTTGGTGTTTCTCGAAGAGATTTTTTTTTTATATCGAGTGTCAATATAATCGACCTGCCTTTTACAAACAGAAAAAAATTACTTGCACTTAGTGATTCGTGATTACGGTCATTATCTGTAGGTTGGTTCTTATAGAACCGAATTGTTTTCTCAAACTTTAAATTTATACAGTTCTGATATTTGTTAAAAGTTAGCAGTGGATATTGCATGAATAATAAAAGTGCGCTGTAACTTGTGTAATTAAGTGTTGGTTGCACCTACGCAGTCGCCTACGTGTCCTACACACCATCGGTCTCTAAAGACTTCTATTAGCGGGAGTCGAACACAGAAATATCCTGTGTAACTGAAGTAATTATGTTTTTATACCGGGGGAGTTGGACGGAAATTATGTATTACGGAGTCAGCAGGGGTGACCTTCGTACTTATTGCCGCGCCCAGCACTTGAGGGCAGCTCGCCGTTTCGCCCAGACGTCGGGTGTCCCTGACGCGCGAGCTGGGGGTGGGGGAGGAGGGAGTGGGTGGAGAGTCGTTGAGAAACCAAAAAGAGAGTAATTTGTCGCGGTCCGCTTTCTGAGCCGATTGATTGGAGAACGGATCGGCGTCAAATACCTGCCGCCATTCGGCAATCCTGCACAGTAAGCAATCTTTTGCACGAGGCCCGGCGCGGGCTTACAATGCTCCAAGGTCTGCAACTGTCATTGTGGAAGGCTGGTCTTGGACCGGTGGGGCCAAATCATAAGTTTTATGTAACCACAGGAGGTGTATGTTTATTCTGGGAAGGATGATGATTCTTTGTAACATTAAAAATAGGTATGAAGACCACGTTCGTATCAGTTTCTATTTTTTCGGCATGTAAGACAAACTTTTCATCAGAAAATACGTTTTAATTTTCGTAAATGTATTGTTAAAATGATAACTCCGAGCAATCAATAGGTTTTAGTTTTTGGGTTGTGCAAAAATTGTATTTGCGTTGTACGCACATACCGCCACCCAGAATTAAAAGGAAACAAAGGCGCTCATAATAATGCACGATATCGTTTGACCAGAATACGCTTTTTGTGTTTGTTGATCACTGATTAAAATCCATAGTCCGCAAACAGAGTCACAACTAGTCGAGGCTTTTACACAATTTCGTCCTGTGACAGATTGAGTGCACTGCATTAGTGTTAGCGTTGTCTTATCCGACTAATGAATTCCAGAAAACCGGTGCCGAGAAAGACGTTATTTGAATATGCAATGCTGAAACGTTATTTTGATAATAATTCTCATCTTTACCCTCGAATAAAAGATAGTGGAAGAGAAAGGTATTGCGTAATTCCAAGGTGATTGTGTGAAAGAGAAAAAAAAGTATTAAAGATTCGCAAACAACTATGGAATACCGGAAATGATGTTACCGATTAACGTACGAACAACGAAATGATTGTGGTCTGAAGCATAAACCGCCGTTTGTGTCAAACGTACTTTCCTCGAACGCTATCGAAGACTTCGCTGAAAAGACTAGCAATCGATTTCTTCTCTCTGTTGTCGCTCGTCTCTAGTGGGACTCCTTCCGAAAGCGCAACACTCGCTCGAAAATTCTATGCATACGCAAGGAGCTACTAAATATCCCACGACACGCGGTCCGGAGGGTCACGCTTCGGAATAGGAGTTGTCGAATGCTTGACATGCGGGCAGGCATGTCATGTTGACATGTTGACATGTTGGCATGACATGACATGTTGCGTCGAGTCACAGGAAGCTCCAACTTCGTTCCCAGTGACCCAGTTCCTCACCACGGTCATTCCGAAACGTGTGAGCGAGGAAACTAGTGTAATGTAGGAGAAGTGGTAATTGCGTGTGAGTTAATACACGCTGCGTTATTCATCTGTTTTATTTGTAGTCAGGTGATATCAATTTGCGCGGAGGCCGTAAAATTTTCTCTCTTGCCATTTGTTGAAAATTGAAAGAAAGTTTTGAGATCAATTGTTTCTTCCGTGTAAGGTTTATCGAAATATTATTTCTGCGAACACATTAGATGAAACGTCAACAAAGTTTACGTGAATCTCTTGAAGGATAAGATGGTCTGGGGCTCACCCACACAATGTATGGGATATAATCAATCATTTTCTCATACAATTTAATTTGTTCATTAAACCTTTGCATCATCTCTTTAGTACTTCCCAACAATACAGTAGTTATTTATGAGAGGAATGGTAAAAGTTGACGTTTTTTGATGAGTAGAAAAGGCTGAGACAAAGCCGATAGCCCGAGTGGCGCAATCCTACGAACAAAATAAAATCTATTTGGCTACGTGTATCTTACACTATTTGTTAGAAAGACTTACTGACTGTTATTTTATTTTAATCCAAGTAAGCAAATCACTTAATGAAATATTACGTTCAGAAGTAGCTGCTCCTGTCAGACGGAAGTATTTTTTTTTATTGCATTCTCGTATTTATCTGAACACTTTAGCATCATCCCACTTTTAGCAGTGGTGCTAAAAAACGAACTCTAAGCACGCTAAGCTTGCCTAGAAAGAATCACGTTTACTAGAGACTGTTTAAAAACATTTTTTTCAGATTTAATGATTGTTTATTTTGTGTTGGATTTCCTAAAATATTGTGGGAAATGAAAGAACCTATCAAATAATTATTTATCTTAGTTTTGATATTAATGATCGAATGAAACGCTATTTTGATTTGATTACTTTACATTTCAGTAAATGATGATTTCGTCGGTCATTCTAGCAAACAAGTATTACTGCATTCGAACATTCATTTATTCCGTGTGTTTTGTACTTATGGCCTCTTCGAAGAAAATAACAATTATGCCTTCTTAGATAAAAATATCGTTTAGGGTAAAAAAAGGTAATCGCTCCCGAGAGCCAGTAAATGAGGAGCCTCTTTTAGTTGGGACCTTTCGAGGGAAAAGGGAATCAAGGTGCAAGTTATTGCGAATGGACTGACAGAGTCGGAATTCCCGCAGACTTCTGCTACATCGTTAACGCGTTATTCAAGATAGCCCTCGAAAACGCCGGTGTGTATCCCTTCCAGTGAGCGATGCTGTGATCAGATGGTTTCGCTTCAAGCACCAATCGGGAAGGGAAATCGTTGCAGCATCTTAGCGAGAATTTATTGATGTACTCGAATATCAGGAATTTGACAGAATTAATTGAAGACCAAGCCGTAGTTTTCTTTCCCATCTCTTCTAGAGATTATTTTCCCGACGGTTTATTTTGCCTTATTTACAGGCATTAGCGAAGTGGACTCTAAAAAGAGTCTATCTTGAAGTGTTATTAGCTTGTTTCCTTATTATTAGTTTGTTCTGTTCAATTTGACGCTCATATATTTTCAGTAAAAATGCAGTGAATACTTTATTGTAGATCGAAGTATGCGTCTCAGCTACACAAGTAAACAACTGTCTTTTGCACCCCCTTCCTGATTCTTATATCATCCCTTCGGAATGAAGGCTCCTTACTCCCTCGACAGCGACTTTACTCTGCCATCGTCGCAGCGGCTTTCTTAATTTTTTCCCTTGTTTTTTCTTCGCTTTCGTTTT